TCACACAGGCTGGTGCGCTTCTTCCATGTGGGCTTTGTTGCTTCTGAGCTAGATGGTTACTTGTTTATCTTCAAGTAAGACCCCAGATGCTATATCTTTTGATAGCCGGGCACCATCAGCTTTCTTCACCGCATTATATTTTTTAACAACAAAGTAATTTCAAGGCAGTCATCCGCCCTACAGGGAATTTCTTCTATGATGCACATTGAATCACGTAGACAAGTCAGTGAGGGATTGTGAATTTTATGTGGTGGTGGTGGTGGTGGTGCAGTGGGATATCAAGTTGATTGTGACTCATAGTGACCCCCTGTGATAGAATAGAATTGCCCCAGGCAGCCTTTTTAGCATCCCCTTTATGGAAGTAGATCCCTAGTCTGTCTGTCCCTGGGGCCCATGGGATGGGTTCAAACTGCTAGCTTTTCAGTTAGCAGTGAAGCACTTAACTATTGTGGCAAGAGGGTTCTCCATTATGTGAGGCAGCTATTAACAACTGTGGTTCAGTAATTTTGAACCAACACCATGTATGCATAAAAATAAATAAATAAATGGCTGCAGTCACTTTGTTTCAATGGCTCTGGGCTTTGTTTTTCATCATAACAGATGAGAAAAGAGCTAAGAATGTGATAAATTCCTGTGCTAATGAGAGTGCTGGGGAAACCAGAGCAGAGGAAGAGGAAATGGTTTATGTACTGAAGGACTGATTCATTCATTGTTTGGGTTTGCTGGTTTCTAGATTTCATAATTAAACATTTATTGTATGAATCTTGTTATTGAAGCTCCTGGGGGAAATGGGTGCTTTTAGCTCCCAATCTCTCTTAAAACGTTGCTTAAGTTATGAATTTCAAGCACACCAAAAAGCAATCATTGTGCCACAACAGAAAAGATTTGACCTAAAAATAGTTCTGTGAAAATTAGTTGAGCCCTAAAGTACTTGGCAATCAGTTTCTTTTAAACCTCTCAAAACTGAACAATATAGGGCAGAGATTCTCCAGGTGTGATCCCAGGACCAGCAGTGTTTCTGTTGCCTGGGAACTTGTTAGAAATGCAGGATTTGGATCAGCCCCTAGACCTCCTGAAAGGGAAAGTCTGGGGCCGGAGCCCACCAATTTGTGTTTTCATAAAATAGCTAGCTGATTCGGATTCATAATAAAGTTTGAGAGCTTTTGATATAAGCCTATAGGTAAATAGGATTACTTTAAATCAGATCACTATTCAAACGCAAATACGGAAACCCTCTTTTTCCACTCTCCCGTTAATGGAGGATGTAT